GCCTTGAGCTCACACCCACACCCTGCCTTGAGCTCACACTCACGCCAGGCCTTGAGCTCACACCCACGCCGGGCCTTCAGCTCACACCCACGCCGGGCCTTCAGCTCACACATGCCCTGCCTTGAGCTCACACCCACACCCTGCCTTGAGCTCACACCCACGCCCTGCCTTGAGCTCACACCCACACCCTGCCTTGAGCTCACACCCATGCCAGGCCTTGAGCTCACACCCACGCCGGGCCTTGAGCTCACACCCACACCCTGCCTTGAGCTCACACATGCCGGGCCTTGAGCTCACACCCACGCCAGGCCTTGAGCTCACACCCACGCAGGGCCTTGAGCTCACACCCACGCCGGGCCTTGAGTTCACACCCACACACACACGCTGGGCCACAGGCAGGAAGGAGCACTTAGGGATTGGGAAAGAGCAAATGAACGGAGAACCGTGTGTTGTGCACAAAGCATGAAGCGGGAGGCTTCCCTGGTGTGTTTGCCAGGGCGAACGGGAGAGAGGGGCCTCACTATTTTCAAACTGACATTGTTTTCACAGTTCTTTTCAGTCTTGCCATCTCTTAGCTCATTTCACTGCAGCTATTTCTGCTTTTCCCTTCAACTCCCAGCGCCCAGTCCTACGCCTTGCGAGCGGCGCAGAGCTGCGTGCGCAGCCACTGTGGCTCTAGGAGGCGGAGCGCGTGGACGCCCGTCGTGGGTGCTCACTGCGTCTCCTCAGCGCGTCTGCTCCCTCTCACCTGTCCCGTGAGCTAGAGCAGCCTGTGGAGGCAGCCTTAGAGATCTTTCCCCCACTCCTGGACAGACAATTATAGCCCGAAACATTTGTAGAGGAAGTTCCCAGCTGGGCAGTGCGCGGCACGGTTCTGCGTTAGATCTGTCAGATGGGCTTCCGTCATGTAATACCATGGACAAGGCTGGCGGGATGGACTACGCGGTGGATCCCCAATGCTAAGGACGCCCCGGGCTTCCTCCGCACCGAGTCCAGCCCCCCAGCCTTACCCGGGCTTGTCTTTGGGATCCATGGCAGGTGTGGCTATTGTTGGTCATGTAAGAACGGCACCATTGCCGGTGGTTGTCTTATTGGAAGGCTACAGCGTCTCACGGCACTGGGGGAAGAGCCGCAGTGTGAGGTCTCCACAGCCTCTGCTGGCCACGGAGGGACGGGGCGGGGGGGGAGGGGG